AGACCAAGACCAGAATCTGTCGAGACCAAGACCAGAATCTGTTAAGTCTAAGACAAGACTAAGGCAGGGCGAGACAAAAACCAGAAACCACTCTCCAAATTCATCTGAAAGATCCATTCTGACCAAAAACTACCTTAATAAATTATACTATGTATACAACTACAGAGATAATGCCATGAGATTAATGTTTTAAATGTAAACTTTTGAATATAGAAATAAATAATACACTCAAAATGAAACTAAAACCACAAATCACTTAATGAGTATAATTTTTTCAACATATTCGTTTGAAGCGGCTTGGAAACGATCTGCTATGGATTTGTTTAGAACTATTGCCATTGGTGAAACAGCAAAAACTTGTGCTTAAACTGTTTAAACTGTCTAAAATGTAAGTCACTTAATATTATCTTCTTGTTTATTGAGCGTGAGATAAATCAATATCATGTTTGCATTCAAGCTTATTTTCGTGAAAACATAACTCTTGCTCTGATGATATTGCTTAATTATATCAAATGTTATAACATAAAAACAAGATCTCATGCAAAGTATTTTTTTGTACCAATATCTTGAATTTTTTGGGGCAATTGTATTAATTTTGGTTACATTTTTTATACAATCCCCCTTTAATTTCTGACCGGCACAACAGTATCAAAATAAATAAGTTACTGGTTGCATTTGAATACAGATTGTTTCAAATCAGCTTTAGAGTGTTCGACAAGAAAACTGTGATTCAACGATGCAAAATAAATTCAATTCTTCTGTAAAAGGCCTTAGTAAATAGTCATTATTCATTTGCAATGCATTGGCAATTTAGTGATATCCCCACAGTTGTGGTCTTGACTGGTCTTGAAATAAAATTCAGACAGAGACATGCCCGAGTACAAATGCAATCGATAATGAGACCAGGCTGAGACCTTAAAAAACGATGCAAATCAATGACATTTGTTAAAAATAAAAGTATAACATAGTATTTACATAAAATGCATATTAATATCAGTTTTCACACTTTATCTCCCAATAATTTGTCTAACTAAGATGATATATTATGACAGCTACAGCTTAATATTGGCTACCAAGGGTGCCAATATTAGTGGAGGGCACTGTAATATCTTGTACAGTATATAACTTGAGGCAGCCACGTACCTTCTCAGCGAGCGACAGCACGGTACTGGCTTGAATAATGGCCACCTGCTCCTCATTCCTCAGGTTCTGCGTAAAAGCATAAATACACACTGTGCATTGAGTCTCAGGTTTGCATTATTAGCATTAAACACTACAGCACGAAATCACATGACTAGATTGTTACAGATGTCTGTGACGTACCCCGTTATCCCCGAGTATATCCAGCAGCTTGATGAGGTCTGGTATACACACGTCCTGTTGAGAGCAGATCTGGGTCACGAGTTCTCACTGTTACTGAAAGCACGTGCCAGATTATGTCTTGATATTTACCTTCACGCCCTCCTTTATACAGTAGATCTGCAGCGCGCTCACTCCCTCAGAGAAAGGATGGATTTGAAGGGTAAACGGAGGCGATCTCCTCTCACGCTCCTGACAGATCACATCAAACACACTTTACACACTCACAGCATTACTCCAACTGTGTGTCATTAAAGCAGGCTGCTTCCTTAAAGCGCAGTTTTTATATGTGACCCTGGACCACAAAACCAGTCATAAGGGTAATTTTTTTTATTTATTGAGATTTATACACCATGAATAAATGAGCTTTCCATTGATGTATGGTTTGTTAGGATAGGACAATATTTGAAAATCTGGAATCTGAGGGTGCAAAAAAATCTATATATTGAGAAAATCATCTTTAAAGTTGTCCAAATTAAGTTTTTAGCAATGCATATTTCTAATCAAAAATTAAGTTTTGATATATTTACGGTAGGAAATTTACTAAATATCTTCATGGAACATGATCTTTACTTAATATCCTAATGATTTTTGACATAAAAGAGAAATGTATAATTTTGACCCATACAATGTATTGTTGGCTATTGCTACAAATATCCCCCAGCGACTTAACACTGCTTTTGTGCTGCAGGTCACATATATCTGTACTTCCACCACTAGATGGATGCCTCCATCTGAGAATGAGAGACAAAGTAAGATTGTGCACATGTGTGTTTTACTTGCAGTGAATTTTATGCTGAATGATTTATTGTAGGACATACATTTAATAAGACACTATGCCAAAAACAAGCAGTGACGTCCCTGTACAATATATTTCATTGGGCCTCCTTGGACAAATCAGATTTGTGGCCGGTTGCACCAGCTTTGCATAACCTAGCCTTAGTTTTGACATAAAAGGGCATTAGGTTACAACTTATGCTCTACTAAATATGTGCATATTTATAACTCGATAATGATGACATATACACTGGTTAACATTTTAAAAGAAACATCATTATGTAAAATAATGACTTGTTATTGGCTCTGCTTTGTATCTCAAAATGTAGACTTTTTTCTTGAAGAATTGCCAGATATAAATTTGCAATTCTGAAAAGTCATAAAAGTTGCAATTAATTTGGGTTTTTTTTTACTCCATGAAGGGAGAAAAACAGAAATGTGAGATGAATGTAAACTCAGAATTTGGAGAAAAAGAGTCAGAAAAGACACAAACTTAGAATTGCGAGATATAAACAGAATTCTGGCTTTTTTATTCAGAATTCTGACTTTGCGAGTTTACATCTCACAATTCCTCTCAAAAAATATTTATCAGAATTGCGCGATAAAACGCCACAATTACCTTTTTAATTTTTTATTCTATGTCAAAAAAACAGGCTTTCTGTGGTTTCTGAATGTTTTATACAGTATATAAAATGTAGATATAAAATCAATTATTTCATGAATAAATACTATAATCCAGTGGAAAAGTATTTTTACCGTAAGTTAAGTTAGAATCGACTTGAACAGGATAAACTGAAACCTCTGCTCATATTTGAAGGCTATGGATCACTGAGAGTGAATGTCATGACTATGCATCGCTTCACAGAGAGCTCATGAACTACAAGCTAACTAGCTAAGTACAGAATTAGTTACAAACTTTTACTAAGCCTCTAGTGTGCTCGCACATTTACTCACAAACTTGTATGAACTAGCATGGCCTTTGTGCAGCTTATGGTGCAGCCAGCAGTGATTTGTGGACAGAAATAGAGATCAAACCTCGAGCTCAAGAATGCGAAACTCCAGGAGTTCATTCTGATCTTTAGAGTCCTGTAGTTCCTGCTGCAGCTTTCCGTTTTCATTCTCCAGCTTTTCAACCTGCATCAGAAGAAACGACTGATGAGTTTATACAAGACTTTCACTGTTGGTGCTTTTTTTGTCCTACGAACCTGTCTGCAATTAACAGCCATTACTCCACACGATCCGAACATGCTGATTTGCTCCTCAAGAAAAATTTCTGATTATTATCAATGTTGAAAACAGTTGTGCTGCTTCATATTGTTGTGGAAACTGTGATACAGCACATGTTTTCAGGATTCTTTGAGGAACAGAAAGTACAAAAGAACAGCATTTATTTTCTGAAACACAAATCTTGTGTAACATTATTAAACTATTGAATGGCAATGTATAACAGTTTCCACAAAAATATGAAGCACCACAACCGTTTTCAACATTGATAATAATCAGAAACATTTCTTGAGAAAATCAGCACGTTACAATGATTTCTGAAGGATCGTGTGACACTGAAGACTGCAGTAATGATGCTGGAAATTCAGCTTTGATCACAGAAATAAATTATATTTTACTATATATTGACGTAGAAAACAGCTATTTTAAATATGTGTCCCTGCAGCACAAAAGCAGTGTTAAGTCGCTGGGGGATATTTGTAGCAATAGCCAACAATACATTGTATGGGTCACAATTATACATTTCTCTTTTATGACAAAAATCATTAGGATATTAAGTAAAGTTTAAGTTTTGTAAATGTCCTACCGTAAATATATCAAAACGTAATGTTTGATTAGTAATATGCATTGCTAAGAACTTCATTTGAACAACTTTAAAGATGATTTTCTCAATATTTAGATTTTTTTGCACCCTCAGATTCCAGATTTTCAAATAGTTGTATCTCGGCCAAATATTGTCCAATCCTAACAAACCATACATCAATGGAAAGCTTATTTATTCAGCGTTCAGATTATGCATACATCTCAATTTTGAAAAATTGACCCTTATGACTGGTTTTGTGCTCCAATGTCACAATTGTAAACATATTTCGCATTATTACTGTTTTTACTGTATTTTTAATCCAATAAATACAGCATCGGTGGGCAGAAGAGACTTCTTCTTTTTTTTAAAACACATAAAAAAAATTTTTATTATTCTAAACTTTTTACCAATAGTGTACATAGAAAAAAAACGTGATACAATGTATTTATTTTAACATAAGTTATTACATTGTACCTACACTTACAGTACCTGCATGCACTGCAACTAAATTCATACTTACACTATTGATCCTAAATCTAAACTTGCCCCAGATGAGAAAAAGTAACGCAATGCAATGCATTACTTTCCATAAAAAGAAACTAAGTAACGTAATTAGTTACTTTTTTAGGGAGTAACGCAACATTGTAATGCATTACTTTTAAAAGTAACACTTTCAGTCACCTTCTCCAGCAGCTCCTGATTGCGTCTGAGGAACAGTTGCTTCTCTTCCACCCATCTGGAGTCCTGTGAGGAAGAGAGCAAACCATGTGCATCAGACATAACTTTAGCTTTATAACCAGTGAAACCTGGTGAAATCTGTTTGTAAGCATGGAGAAACACTCAGCAAGATAAACACCACACTAGATATCGCAGGCTGAGCGTGCTGTGGGTATACATTTGCATGCACTAATATCAAGAGTAGTAAAATACATTTACCTGCCCTTTTAAAGAGACCTCCTTTTCCAGGTCTTCGATTTTAGCTTTATACCTTTGAGCGTCTGCCTGGAGCTGCTCATGAGCCTGCAAACATAACAAAACTATCAAACATAATAGTGTTTAACTTCACAAGCTTATGTTTGTGAACATTTTGAGAGCGAGATATATATGAAATGTTGGTCGCACTTTAGTTTGAGCGCCAATTCTGACTATTAACTCAGACTTTTGCCTTAATAAACTCCTAATTTGCGGTTTATTAATAGTTAGGAAGGTAGTTGTTAGTTTAGGTATGGTGTGGATTAAGGGATCTAAAATATAATCATGCAGAATAAGACATTAATGTGTGCTTTATAAGTAATTGTACACAGCCAGTATGCTAGTAATATGCACGCTAGTTAATTGTGAGAATTGTGTTTTCGAAATTGTTGGGTTTTGCCATTTAGTTTTCAAACAATTCTGTATCTGTATATATATATAATATAAATGGCACATTGTTGGAACCCTAGTTCATCAGACTTATTGATCTTGACAAAAATAATAAGGGTCTTCTGGAGTCTTCTATATGACCGACTGAATAAATGCTGTATTTTAATATGTTGGTTGCACGTGATTTAGAACTGTCTGACAAAAGCTTTTCAAATATTTATGATTTTGTAATTCTGACAAAACTGCTTCCCTGCTTATTTTTCTAAGGAATGATCATTAAAGATCATGCTAAACTACTTAAGGTTTTCTTTTTAAGAATGTTACTATTTAATGAGGATCAGTGTTATTATTATTTTTTTTAAATATTTTGAATTAGTATTTATTTGCATAATTTTTCACTTAAAATTACTTTAAAGTTTTAGTATTTTGTTGTGTGTTTTGTCATTTTTTTTAGCTTTTAAAATAATGTCTATACAGTATTTATTCTTATTATTTGTTTTAGTACTTCAGCTTATGAGAGATCAAATAAAATGTTTATTTTTTTTAGATTTTATTTCTGTTTTTTTTTTTTTTTTTAGCTTCTAGTTTTTGTTTTAGTTAACAATAATAACCATGATGAGTTTTTTTTTTTTTTTTCATTTTGACAGTTCATTCATCAGGACAGTTGTACCACCCCAACATTTAAATATCTAAATAAAGTTTCCTTCAGAGACCAAAAACATGGTAATCATATAAAAAGGTGCATTCATATTATATGCATGAATTGCATTTTTGAAAGAGTTAATAAACCTGGGCAAAAAAGAGAGTCTTGTACCTTATTTCTGTAATGTTAATGGATAACCAGTATTTGAGGAATACCTTAGCCTCCATTTCAGCGTCCAGCACACCTCCTTTCTGCTCCTGTAGGAGGGCATATGCTCTCTGAAGAGCCTGATATTCCCGTGTCAACTGCTTAAAGCGCAGCTCGGACTCTTCAGCCGCCAAACCCTGTAAGAATAAAAAGTGTATGAGAGATAATGAACACGAACAGCATAAAACACAGGGATCCTGACTGAGAAATGAAAGAAATCCACAGTCGATCTTCCTAAATGCTCACCTCGTCTAAATCTTCGTCTGGTGTAGCCGGGGTTCGGTCCATGCGCAGGGAAGCCACCGAGGACGTTTCCGAATCCATAGACTCTTCATCATACCCATACAATGTGTCTACAACAATATGCCTCTGCGCAGGAGAATAACAAGAACAATTCTAGGTCAATTTGGACCTTTTAATGAAATTTAACTAGTCACTAGTTGCACCAAAAGTTTAAAGACAGACTGCAATATTTTGAAAGCAGACAGGAAAAAGTGTTGTAACCGTAGCAACGTTCACATCCACAGATTTTGGGGTATCAAACACTGAATGGAAGCACCAAGATGCGCATTAAAAAATCTTAAAATGTGTATAAAAACCATTTGGTAACAAAACATGCATAAACTACGATGGTAACACATTTACATAATAAATTATGCACAACAAACGCAAGATAATATGTGTCCCTGGAGCTCCAAACCTGATGAAGAAACAAACTCATCCTAATCTTGGATGGCCTGAAGGGAGTAAATGTTCGGCTAATTGTCATTTTTGGGTGAACTATTCCTTTAAGAACTGATCCAGGAGCCTGACTCAGCACAGTAATGATATGAAACTGTACAGCTAGTTTGCTAGATTGTGGTAATTTACTACCTAACGCTAAGAAGGAGTCTGCAAGATGGGGAAATGTGCCATGCACCCAATTAATTATCTGTGAATGTCTTACTCAGTACAGTGTTTCCTGTCCATCTGAGAGATTGTGAATTCACAATCAAATATATTTAGATTGTAACATTTAGTTGACATTTATCTCAAATAACCCCAGTGTTTAGTGCTAAATACACATGTAAAAATGCTTCAAAACAATGTCACTACGTGATCTTAAAACAAAATTGTCAGTTTAAATTGTCAGCATTAGAGCAACATGCACTAACAGAGACTTGAAAGATCCCGTGCATTCAAAGTTCAGCTTTACGCTATCTGCTCAAATCATCACGTTTGTCGTGAGATTAAAATATAAGTTTAAGAGCGACTCTGGGATGCCTTTCTGTGCTTTGTTAGCATTCGGTAACAAATGCATTCGATTTAATCACACATTAAACCTGCACTTTAAAATGCAGATTACATTTGGAGAGATATCAGAAAATAAAGAGGAACCCACCATCTCCAGGTTCTCCTTGGTAATGGATTTAAGTTTATCCTCCATCCTCTGAAGGGACTGGCTGAGTTCATCATTTTTCCTACTTAATAATTTGTTCTTGTCCAGTAAGGGCTTGCACTGTTTCTCTGCTTCTCGAGCACGCTTTAACTGAAAGGAGCAATTCAGGGTTCATTTTTCATTGAAAAACAGAAATGTGTCCAAGACCACACCATAAAAGAAGATGCATGCTGAGGATTTTATAGTCCTGTAAAAACCAAAAATCCTTCCACAGTTGGCATTGCTTTTTATCCTTCACTGCGACACTGAGTTTCCAGGAAGCATCTATGCAAACAACATCAATGACATCGAAACATACCAGCTCGTTTCTTTCATCCACTAAGATTGAGTTGCGGTCCTCCAGCTTACGAATGGTGGCTTTGAGTTCACTCATGCGTTTCTGGTTCCTTCTCATGTCCTAAAACACATAGCACCAGATATATCTGTAGCACACACATGTACTGTACATTGCATAATAAAGGAAAATGTATGCACTAATATAAAATGCTTACGGGATTAACTCATATTTACACTGGGAACTGAGCGTTTAGAGCCTTTTGCATTAATGCATTAGTGTTTGTGTCCAGCACTTCAACTGGCTTATAACAATAACACTTAATCTTAACTTAAAATTATGAATTACAAGAACGGACATAACACCTTTCAATCTTTTACTCTTACACAGAAATGTGTTCTTTTAAAAGAAATCATTTATGCTGATATCATTTTTGAGATGTCGACTATCTGTTTACTGCACTACAGGAACATGTGCATTTGTGGATTTAACACGTCTAGTTTCTTTACCGGACTCCCACAATGCTCTGCTCCGTCTCCAGCACGGCCGGGGATCTCTCTTTTGGGGCTTCCCAGGTTGCACTCTGCCTCCTTGACCAAAAAAAGCTGCTCATCAAGCGCATCCTTCTGTAGCTGCAGCTTCTGCACGAAGCCTGTCGCTGTTTCCAGCTCTTTCTCCAGCGAGAAGATCGTCCGGTCCTTCGCCTTGATCTCATCCACCTGCACAAAGTTCATGCTGCATTAACCCACGGAGGCAGGGTTTGGCTTTTCAACTTTTGCAAATAGTGCCTAACCGTAACTATACTGCAAAAAATATTGTAATTTTAATAGTAAAACACTACAGTAAAACCTGGCAATTAGTTTTTCTTTATACGGTGAAAAACTATAATAGATCTAATGGAAAAATGCATGTAATTTTACAGCAAAATACCGTTAGATGTAGTTTTTGCAAGTGAAAAAGAACGAGTTATCTTATAATTTGCGGTGGAAAGACATGAATTGACATTACCAGAATTCTCTGAGTGACAACTCACATTTGATGTTTTTTTGGGGGGGTTTTTTGGATGCTCTGCAGTGAATGGGTGCCGTCAGAATGAGAGTCCAAACAGCTGATAAAAACATCACAATAATCCACAGCACTCCAGTCCATCAGTTAACACCTTGAGAAGCCAAAAACTGAAACAAAACCATCATGAAGACATTTCTAACTTCAAACTGTTGCTTCTGAAAAAATATGAGTCAGTATTCTCTATTCATAATATTGCTTTCTCAGTGAAGTGGTCTGATCTGAATCAGGAGAGAAATCTGCACATATCAAGCACCGTTTACAAGTCAAAACAGCTCGAAACAAATATGTGGACTCTTTCACTGAAGGAAGCAATATTATGGACTCGTATTTTAACCAGAAGCAACCGTTTAAAGTTTAAAACATCTTAATAAAGGATTTGTTTCTTTTGGCTTCTCAAACTGAGTTAACTGATGGACTGGAGTGCTGTGGATTACAGTGATGTTTTTATCAGCTGTATGCATGGACTCTCATTCTGACGGCACCCATTCACTGCAGAGCATCCACTGGAAGCTCCAGTGAAGAAACAAACTCACCTACATCTCCGTACATTTTCAGCAAATAGTCATTTATGGATAAACTACTTTATGGTGGTTGTCAGTATATTATTATAAAGGTTCAAATGTTAGTAGTTTGATATGCAAACATTTTTTCAGTTAGTAAAATAAATTTCACCAATTTTGTTTCCATTGTTTCCATTATTGCTTTATTATAAAACAGAGAGTTCCGATCCTTGATTCTGATTGGTTGAGCCGCGTTCGAAGCTGTTGTAAATTACTCTACAAACATACACCTTTGGTTACGTATAACAGCTAAGAGGCGTTGTGCCTAAAACCCCCTTAGCATGTTACAAATTCACTGTAAACCATTGCTTTATTATTTGACATTTCCACATTAAGAATAAAAACGCTGGCCTACCAATCGACGAATATCTCGCTCACTGTCCCACTTGATCTTGGAAATTTGCTCCTGGTGCGCTTGATGTTCAGTGCGCAGGTCACCAGCCTTCATCTTGTCGGCTAAGATCATAGTATTCAGCGCTTCATCTGTCTGCCGTTTGGAGGATTTTATCTCGGCTATGTCTTGCAGCAGCTTGACGCGCTCCTGGTCGAAGAAGCGGCGGGCTTCCTCTCGGGCCTCGAGCGTTAGCGCAGTGCGCACTTTCTCGCCGCTGCCATCGCGGAGTGCACTGAGCGCAGTCCGCAGACGCTGGATCTCGCCTTCTTTAATCTTAGCGGTACGCGCCAACTCCTGCTCGTGCTGCCGTGTGAGCGATTCCCGCAGAGCTGCGAGTTCCTTTAACTTCTCCTCGTGCCAGCGAGCCCGCTGCTCCGTCAGCGCCGCCGTATGTCGATGCTGCTCCTGTTCGCGAATGCGCTTGCCTTCCTGCACCTTTTCTCGCTCCAACTTGGTCACCTGCAGAAATAAGTTCATGAATGAGGCTTGCGGTAATATTGCATTTATCCAAATCTGTTCTAGATGGACAAGAGTGGTTTAGCAGGGTTAACAATTCAGTTTGGCACTCCAGAAATCAGTACCTAAAATGGCTCAGCTCTTGAACCAGAGTTTAATCATGACAACTCTCTGAACATTTTAGCATGGTGATGGATATGACAATGTTAATGTATTTGGTCTAGGCAGAATAGATCTGCTGCTGCTGTTGGTTATTGCTGTAGTTGTAGATTATTGCTGCTGCTGCAAGCAAGTACAGGAACTTGCTACTGCCTGCCAATGCATACGGCGATACGGTGCCGAGAGTATTTAAGACATGCTGCTGCTGCACAAATAGCATATAAAATAACCGTAGCAGATCTATACAGGTGGAGCTGGGGAAGGTGGAGGTTTCAGAGAACTCTGAAAGCACGCTGCAGGAATCTCTAGTGAATGCTAGCCAGCTATATAAATGCAAGGCAGTAAGCTCGTTGGCTGCACATGCAGCATGAACCAATCAGCTTGTGCCAAGTCGTTTAACTCTCTGAATATCATCAGTTACGTTAACAACCCATCAGCCTGCGCCATCTAGAGTTTCATGACTAAACTATATATTTATCCAAACTTTTTATTTGAAGGTCCACAAATTAAACTTGATGGAGGGCTGTGGTGCAAAAGTTACATTATATACAACAATAATATAACACCATTTATTAAATTGTCAAATGTTTTAAATAATTAAAATTTAATTAAAGGGGTCTCTTCTGCTCATCCAGGCTGCCTTTATTTGATTAAAAATACAGTATATTGTGAAATATTATTACAATTAGAAATTTAGTCAAAGCTGTATTTTCAGCATCATTGCTCCAGTCTTCAGTGTCACATGATCTTCTGGGAGTAAACAGAAACCCACATTTCCATAACCATTTACAGAAGGGTAAAGACAAAATCACTATGTATGTTTGGAAGCTTAAATTGTCATGCTATGACTTCAGCCACTTCTATGTGTCTTTTTGTTAAAATCAGCAGATTTCACCTTTTCTTGTTATATGAAGGAAAGTCTTGGAATCTTGGAAGTCTTATAATTTATTTTCCAACTTTGCCTTTTAGTCCCAGACCCACAATGTCATAGGATATGAAAATCTATAATAAAATATGAATAACAATTCATTAGGATTAATAATAATATTAATTATTACATATAGGTGAATTCAGGTTGATTGGGACACATTTGCAAGTCCTTTTTCAATGGCAAATATCAATCCTAATCTAACGAAAGAGTGAAATAAACATAAAACGGTTCAGTGTGTATTGCCAGAATATGATTTGCTGCATATATTGAAGAGCATGATGACATATGTGACCCTGCAGCACAGAAGCAGTGTTAAGTCGCTGGGGGATATTTGTAGCAATAGCCAACAATACATTGTATGGGTCACAATTATACATTTCTCTTTTATGCCAAAAATCATTAGGATATTAAGTAAAGATCATGTTCCATGAAGATATTTTGTAAATTAGCTACCGTAAATACATCAAAACTTAATTTGATTAGTAATATGCATTGCTAAGAACTTAAATTGGACAACTTTAAAGATGATTTTCTCAATATTTAGATTTGTTTGCACCCTCAGATTCCAGATTTTCAAATAGTTGTATCTCAGCCAAATATTGTCTTATCCTAACAAACTTATTTATTCAGCTTTCATGATGTATAAATCTCAATTTAAAAAAAAAAAGACCCTTATGACTGGTTTTGTGGTCCAGGGTCACATATTTTATGTGAGCTCTGTTGCATTCAGTGCCTACAAAGCTATGGCTCTGAAAACAATAATATTGTGTCCTTTCAAACTCAGCTGTGATTATGTCAAATTATGCAAAACCATGTCAGATATGTAGTGGAGTGCGTGTACATGTTCAGGACATTTAGGAGAACATTATTTGACATTTCAGTAACATTGAAATGTTCTCTATTATAGATCAGTGATTAGCATGCATACTGTATTACTAGCACATTAACTGTTTATTAATACAAAGCACATATTAATGCATTAGGAGTCGCTCATACAGAGTGCGCTTGCCCCGCCTCCGGGCTCTTTTGATTGGTCCACTGTTTTTTGGAACTGTCATTGATGAGCGGCACTGCATGTAAAAGTTGAAACTCTTTAACAGATGATGAGGCATAATGGCGATTAAGAGATTGTGAATGAAGACTGACGCTTGTCTCTCCAGATACAGCTGTCAGTACAACACAGTAGTCGCCTCAAACTACTAAAATAAGGCACAGTTATCAGGGCAAAATAAGATGTCAAATTAATAAGTTCAATACTTTTTCCCTGTGTCGTTCCATTCTATTACAAACAACTTAATTTCTGAACTTATTTGTTTTGTTTTATTTGTATGTATGGATTACTTTCCGAATTTTGGTGAAAATTTCATGTCAACAGCACCTTTAGAAATATATTTACTGGGAAAAATAGTGACGTGTTCAATACTTATTTTACCCGCTGTATATTCTGAGTAAAATAAAGAGCATTCATTTATTTTTAACATCTGATGATTATCACTGTTGAAGAATGCCAGATTGGGTGACAGAATATAAACAGTGAGGATTTCTTCATAAACCTTATAGACAGAGAGAGAGAGAGGATAGAAGTATTTTCCTTTATTCGAGATGATAGTGCATTATTAATATAAGCTGTGCATAATTTCTTACTGTAACATACTGTGATGTCATACATATTTGCTTGGTTATGTAATTTGTGCCAGTTAATCTTTCTGTCCTCCAGAGTCAACAGCATTAGATGTTGGGCAGATATTTTGATTAAACTGTGCAAGTTCGACAGCAAAATCCATTTGATTACTGATGCGCTCTCGCTCCAGAGAAGCTCAGTTCATCCCAACACTGTACCTCTAACAATATCTTTCTTCATATCCTCATCAAAATGAATAGACATCCACTCTGGATATCAGAGGATGCACAGAGGTTGCTTGTGATCATTAATCATTGTACACATGCATGAAAGTCAATAATCTACTATTCAGAAAAGCAGTTCAGGACTGACACCATTCAGTCCTGATCCAATACCATATTAACCCAGAAACGACTCGATCAAAGAGACTGAAGGCACTGGGTGCCAAGTTTACAAAATATATTTGTGTGGGGCACAATTAGCTGCTGCAATGGTCATCCGGTCTGATTTAGCCTTCTGCATCCATAAATCCCTCTGAATGTTTCCGCTGGAAGTGTTTCTGTGTGCTAAGTATAGGACATGCACCCTATCACACCGAATATTTCAATTTTTTGTCTAAATTCAGCTAGAAGCTTTGCATTCATTTACTGCAAAACCCAGTCTGCTAACACATCAACGGCACTAATTACCATAGATGCATAAAATTACATTAGCTGCTGTATATGCAAAAAATATATATGTGCAAACAAACATGTAAATGAAAACACGTAAATGGCACACGTGGGCACTTTAAAAGACCTGAATAATTCGAGATGCCTTATTATCCCAATTGTTTCGATTTTTAGAACATATATTAGCTTATTTATAGAATTATATTAGCAACCAGTTAAACTTGAGAGCATTGCATGAAAATTCGGTCTGATTTTCAAAAAATTAATTTCATTGAAAAGCCCAGAATTACAGTTACCATGGTTACCGCTCTACACAAAGCAGCAACTTTCCCTGAAGACTTGCTTATCACAGAGAAGAAAGGAAGTCAAAACAGTATTTATTTACATGTTTGTTTGCACATATATATTTTTGCATTTTAACAAGGCAAGGCAGTCTACAAAAGAGATTATTATTACTATTATTATTATTGAACAATGATTATTAATAATAATAATTAAAATAATACTAATTTTCACAATAAATTGGCAGGTGTTTTTAATCTTCAATTTTGATATATTTCTTTGAAAGTAATGGTCAAACGTTTACAATGTAAAATGTTTGTATATAACATGAAATATGGGCTTATCTTCATATTTATACCATGAAAGATAAATATGACCATTTTCTAAAACTTTACAATATGGTGTCAGTGTAGGATATATACATTGGAGGACGGTAGGTGGTGGTTAGGTGAAACTGTAGGTGGGGCCCCTTTTGAAAGTCTGCTTAGGGCCCCCAAAATGCTAGGATCGGCTCTGTTCGCAATTTCTCAAATAGTGCTTTGAAAATATCTCTACACTGAATTTCCGAGCTTGTTGCAAATTTTTAACATTGAATGCTATATTCTGATTTGATTGTGAACAGAGGCAGAATATACAGTAGCTGGTAATACAATAGAAACAAGAATACTGTAGAGTTTGTCAAATCTCTGTAAATTACAAACATGCGTCAACAGCGATGCATGCCTTAGCAAACGCCACTAATACATGTTTGTGTGCCAAATCAATCGACTGAAATTTAGTAATGTGAGGTAAAAGTAGTGCTCAATCGTGTACCACTTTATAGGCAAGAAAAATGCTTAGTGCTAACCTGGCTGCACTCTGAAACATGAAATGTTGCTCAAATGATATTATAAAGAAAGGCATCTAATTACTGGAAGAGCTGAAGGTTCTTGGAGGTTAATGGGACGTTACAGTCGTTTCTCTTCCAGCTGCTCTAGCACAAACACACTGGCATCATGACCCACTTTTACATCCACTGACACCAAACTCCAGACACCTCAAACACAACAACACCGAGTTCACTAGCCATGGCTCAGTTTGACCCCTGCAACAGAAGAAATCTTAACATTTCTGTTTCCAGGAAGTTGGGGAAATGGAGGCTAGTGTAATAATAACGCAAACTCCAGTTCAGTTTCAAAGGGTTTCTCTTCAGCCCCACAACTAACAGTCATGTAATTCTGTTCAGTAGACTGTAACACTGATCAATAGTCTACCATATCAATTCACATTGAAAAAGAAAATATAACACTGATTCGAAAAGCTTGTTGTGCTCTATCACCGCTCAAGATATTTCCATTCAATTTCATGGAGATTAAAT